AAATCACTGCTTGTTATTGTTATCTTCAACACCCCTCAAAATTCTGTAGCTGTATTTGAAATTAATTTGTAATTTTGATCATTCATCTTAATAAATATAACCTTCCCGTAAGGGTCAAAGTACTCAACGAGGAAATTTTTTATAACTAGTAATATTGGGAAAATTATAGGATAAACACTGAAAAAATGGTTTTGAAACCCACAAGCACCCTAGTTCACCAAATAAAAACTAAGAATTCGGAAAGTCATGACGTTCTTCTGCTAGCTCAGCGTGATGTTTACCAATCTCACATTCAAGGTATTATTTCATCTCAGATTTTTAATTATGTAAAAGCATGTCAGACTTGTCATGGACAAGTGGGAGGGAATAGTGAGGCCAGGAGAGTATAGGGCAAGAAGACGATATAATGAAAGTTTTTAACAGAGTTTGTTCATATTTAACGGCAGGGACCAATGGATCGAAAGTAGAAAATTAAAAGATCTAATAAAAAAAAGTATAAGGACTTAATTTAAAATTGATAAAAACCATAAGGACTTTCAATTTAGTTTTCCTTATGTATAATTCACAAAAAAAACTATTTAAGTTTTTTCGATTGTGCGTAACATATATGGCAACTCATGTCTGTTCAGCGGTTAAAAAAAGCAGTTAGCGAAAAGAAAAAAAGAGTTGGGAAAAAAAAGGAACGGGTATGCGGAGAAAAATTAATTAATTCTCCTTGTACGGAGGAGTCAATCAGGATTTTCATTGATTACTTTGGTGAAAACGGGTATGCGGAGAAAAATTAATTAATTCTCCTTGTACGGAGGAGTCAATCAGGATTTCATTGATTACTTTGGTGAATGTCGACTAAGAGGGTGTCAAGGTAACTCAAAAATACTTTTCAAAAGTATTTTTTATAAATTGAAACAAAGTTTTTTATATATTTATTTCATATATTATAAAAATATTTTTAAAATTACTGTTTTGTTTCTATTCAAATAACTCATGAATTGGGCGCATCAGGGACAGGGAAGCAGGGCCCCAACAAATAATAAAAGAGATGCATGCAGAGAGTTGAGGCTTGAGGGAGTGTGGGGGCTGATGGGGAAAAGCCGAAAAGGCTTCAATGCCAGGCGAGGACTAGGAGAAACGTGGAAGAATGTTGGCCGTCCCAAAAATGAACGTTGGATAACGCATATGGCTGATGAGAGGTTAGTGCAACGCTGCGCATGAGTTCTTAAAAGTCAAGCCGGTCGTCTGGACGGCCCGCGTTCTTCCACGTCGCTCCTAGTGCTGAATCCAGATCCCTCTGGACTCGTGAGAACGTCCCTTTGAACTCACGTTTTTAAAATCGCTATTAATTGCTGCCGCTGCATGGCAGATCACAGCCTGTCAAAACCCCACCCCGCAAAAACTTCCCCTTTCTGTGTGCCCGCTGCCCACGGCACCCAACTTCTACCCCTTCATTTCCCTTCATTTCGTATACGGAATATCCCCGCTCCTCAGCATAAAATTAATTAATTTTTTATTCGTTAAAAATATATATTAATTTTTTAAAAATATTCTCTTAATTTATTTATATTGAAATCGTCTTTTCATATAATGTGTAACATGTAAATTATAGTTTAAGAAAACAATAATTAACGATAAATAAATATAAAGAATAAAGTGTACGAAAATTTCATATTTATAATCAAGTTTAATTCTCAACTGACTTTTATATTAACAGCAGAGATGTAGTGCTATAACAAGGCTGTCACATTGCACAGTTTAATCAGCCCTCGATTTATCCACTTGCATGCGCTCAAGTAGCTCTCCTTCACTTGATTTGCTGAATAGTTTCCGCAACATATAACGTGATGCGTCAAATATAGTTTATCTGGTGGTATATACGTAATGTTACTGATAAGCAGGCGTATATACTCGAACAGCGAGTAGAGTCGTTAATTGATTACTAATTTACTTTTTTGACCAGCGATTACTAATTTACTATTACGGTACCAAGCAATAATCTTAAATGGATATAAAATATTGTGACCTTGTTATTCATGATAATAACTTGTCACCTAACAAGCTGATTTCCTAATAAGAAGCTTGACGCGCCCCACAATATTACGAAGAAAGCTTGTTCAATTAAGTTCGTATCTAGTTAATTCGTTGAGTCGCACTGTCGGCGTATTTATTTATTTATTTGTTGCCATATCTGATAACATGATCAATATATTGCTTTCTAGGACCTGACTGTGTCGGTAGAAAATATTAATCAACCAAACAGGCTCATACCCACGTGATAATTAATTCTATTTATAGAAAACAGACATTTGATGTGTCCCGTGTGTAATACAAATATGTACATTAGATATGCAAGGACATGGGATAAAACGAGCTTGCATTTGAAAGTATTGTTTACTATTAGAAGCAGCAGCAGTTGTTATTGTTATTATTTTTTTGGTAAGTGTTATTGTTATTATTTATTATTGACACTCTTCGTCCAACAAAAATAATTCACACGCACACAAGGAGAATTAATTAAGTTTACAATCCTACGCTTAAAAAATGTGCCGAATATCGTTGTGTCTCAAAAGCACCCACGAAGTAATTAATGTGCCCTTTTTTCAGAAAAGGGGGATGCAACATAGTACAAAGATTCTCAGGAAGTCATCTGTTCTAATATTACTCCGTCCAAACATGTTTTACTGAGAAGTTCTAATAGAATTTGTCGCGTTAGTATTGGCGTGATTTGCATCTAGTTAATATATGCCCAATAGGTGTGTTTTGTATTGGGAAAAAAAATATTGCCCCATAACCATTGCGTCACTACGTGCGTATATATGTGTCAATGTATGCTCGAAACATGCGATCCTTTTGTTGTGATTGGGTTTTCAATTTTCAAACAGTCACGAAGGAGTCAATTAATTTTAAAGGAAGTTTGCAGTTTAGCGGCCTTTGATATTTCTTTCTATTTGTAATATTCTAGTTCTAATCTTTAATACAAGATGCAATGCCGTTGGCCCAAAAAAAAGGAGAGAGATAAAATCGACTATATTAGGAAAACTAATGAAGCTAAATTAATTAATTATAGCTTATATTACATAATTTTTTTAAAACACGTATGTGTATTATTGGATTATATATATCAGTTTACAAGTCATGAAATTTAGGTTGAAAAAAAATATAAGTATTTTAAGGTAATTTATTAATCTTACTTAATCTTTCTAAATTTATTAACCGAATCTCAAATAATTACTGGTAAAATAAAAGCAGTGATCAGGGATATTGACGAGCTAACCAATTTTGGTAATCTAAAGAAAGTCAAAGCAGGAACTGTTGTTGTGTGGAGCAGCTCCGGGAATTTGGAAGAGGCACCCACATAAATCTTATCTGGACAACTGGTAATTAATTATTGAAAAGGGGACGCCGCAACAGATGCGTTTTGATTGCATCCATGTGTGGGCGAGTGGATCGGCTTCGTTTGATTCATTTCAAGAAAGTCAAGGCACGTGCAGTGGGAAAAAAAAACTACTCCTCATCAGCTAATACGTATCATATGTATGTGTCTGTTTTTACGAAACCACTACGTTAATTTCATTTAGAAGAATTCAGATGAGCTGATTGCCTTTTCCGCGCGACCTCACCAAAGTCACCGCCACGTTGTTTTGGTAGCTTTGAAACCATACACGCATTTCAGATATTTGAGTGCCTTCTCCTCCCAAAACAAAACCCAACAAAGAAAACGTCCATTTCATATATTTAAGCGTCAACCGTCGAGGATGATTTTTTCATTCCTTCCCAACTCAAACTAGTTCAATTCCTTGGCCACAAAAAAAAAAAACTAGTTCAATTCCCACGACAAAACCCTAACCGGGGGGGGGGGAGGAAAGCCTGCTTTATTTTAAAGGCCGAATTATTTTTTAAATCTGAATTTGTTAACAATACTCAATACTCTACGATCAGCAACAAAATTTCATTAATATTTGTTCATGACTAGATTAGACTTCAGAGAGCTAATATTATTAATTCGAGTATGGTATATATACTACTTCTGATCCTTAATATAAAACTTGTTTGACTTTTAATGTGGTCCTAAATATAGACCCCATCTATTTTTTTTCATATCTATATATTTTTTTCAAGTAGTCCTTATAAGTTGTATATGTTCAAGGTTTCATCAAATAATACTCTTTCGGTCCTTAATATAAGACCCATTTAACTAATTTGATTAGATTAAGCAAGTTAGGTAAGTTAGTTAATTATAAGAAAAGTGACATATTTTTCCTAAAACACCATAATCATCTTTCTTAATATCCCCATCTCCCTCTTTTACTTGATTATGGTTAAGGGAGTATCCATAGGGGTAATTTAGAGAAAATTGATAAATATGAGAAATGGCTCTTATATTTAGGATCAAAACCAACTCAAGAATTAGATCCTATATTAAGGACCGAAGGAGTAATTCTAGTTAATACAAATTATTAGTGAGAATATTTAAAAAAAACATATATTTATCATAAACAACTAATTTAACTAATTTTTAAATTTTTTTAAATTAATTAATTAAATCTTATATTAATGATTGAAGATAATTATGACAAGGGAGGACAAGGATGATAGCGCTGAGAAGCATGGGACCACTCCGGCCGGAGCCAACTTGAGGACCCATGACATCATCATGAGTCCAGCCCTCTGCGTCAGCAATCCACGTGGCAGCATTATTGATGCGCTCATGGCATCAGAAACCCGTTATTCTCCCTTATCCCCATTCGCAGAGACGGAGCGTGAGACACACTCGCCAGCTTTCGTACAATAAATTATCCCATTTCCATATAAATTGCTGTGCGCCTCTTCATCCCTTTGGCCTTCGGCGCTCCCCTCACCTTACCTTCCATTCCATCGATCCTCGTTTTCGCCAATAACAAAGTTTCGCTTGGATCTTCGAAATCAAAGCTTTCCCAGAAACTCGCCTGATAAAAAGATCAAAGCCCTTTTAGCCCTTTCATGTGAAGTTGGAATCTTGAAGAGAAATGGACAGCAGCGTGCTACAGAGGACACCGACTAAAAGAAGCGACAAATTCAAGAAGAAGCCCATCAAGGTAGTGTACATATCCAACCCCATGAAGGTGAAGGTCCTCCCCTCGGAGTTCATGGCCTTAGTGCAAGAGCTTACAGGTCAGGACGCCGAATTGCCGGCGGATCTTTCCAGATTCCAGAACCCCGACATCGACGGTGGGCATCAGTCGTCGGATTCTGATCATTCGTTGGTCACAAAAAGTACTGGCAGTCATGAAAGTGATCACACGCTAGTGATGCCTCAAGTGGACCCTATTTTTAATAATTTCGAAGGCCAACTTGGAAGCTCAATGGGGGAGGGATTCGATCCATTTGATCATCATGTTTTCGCCCCTGATCAGATGATGGACGACATTTCAGCTTTCTTACCCCGTGGTGTGTTCTACGAATCTGATCTAGTTGACGAGGAGCCGAGCGGAAATATTGACGCAGTGTAATTACTAAAACTGCCCAGTAAGCTCGATTATTCCCTCCGGAGAGGTCCTATATTTCCTGGAAACTTGTTAATTTTCCGATTATACTATATGTACTGTCTTTGTCTATATATAATATAAATACTTTATGTATGTCAGAGAACATGCTTATTGATTAACTGTAGCTTTGACAATAACTTTGTTCAATTTGATTTGATGTTGGATTTGGGTGTGAAAGAAGAGAAATCCCTAACACTACACCTAGGAATGAGTAGTTTCTTGAAGAAGATTGGCGGCAACATCGATGGAAGGAAACCTAGCTAATCTTTGTTTCAAAAAGTTCTTCTGATCATTATTGATTATTAGTTGAATTGAAGATGGCGGTGCAGTCAGTTTTGAAATTGCTTGATTGATAAAGAGTAAAGTAAAATTAGTGGTTCAGATTGATGGCGTTCCCTGTGCGTATATGCATATATATGATGATTACGCTTGCTTACTATTGAGGATCACAGGCACTTAGGGAAGTGTGAAAACGAAGAATGGGATAGAGCTTAAGGTTTTAGTCATGGTAGAATTGAAGAGTCTTTGAGGTGATTGAAGAATGCTTGTGAGGGTTGTCCTAAGTCCTTCTGAGTAAGTCCCGGTTTAATTAAGATCTTATACAGTGCGGAGAGGCTTTTATCAGATCAAGTGCAAAATTTATGGCAAATAATAATGATAAGAAATAATAATACTCGGTCAAGGAAAATTACGTGGATAGTACTTGTTTTTACACTAATAAATTAAACGCTCAGCCTGGGTTAAGATAATCAAGCGTGGACGTGGTTATAAATAAATGTAGAGAATATAATGCAGAGAAATTGCTTTGGAAAGATCTTTAATATTTACAACTTCCATTGGTGTGGAACTTTCCAGCTTGCTGTGGCATGGAGGTTAAAGTAAACTATACACAAGTACTTGTCTTTTGTTAGCCATTTGTAGGTTTTCACTTTCCATATATATATGTATATGTATATATATGTTTGGCTGCGCTGGTTATTAAATTACTATGATTTTAAAGTTGTGATAGTGAGAAATTTAGAGCTGGGAAAGTGATCTTTATCAAACTTCTTGTCTCTTTATATCTGTACATAGCGGTGGTCTCATCCTGTGCCATACAAAGCCCAACTTGCTGCTCTCTGTTAAGGCCAGATAAATATCAATGAGCCATCTTATTTAAGACGCCGAAGCTGAACAACTTTCGCCTATTGATTGCTACTCCCGGTTCATAACAAATCATTTTATAAAAAGACAACGGTTGTTTTCGCTCTTCATAAAATTTAGTAAACTAATTATAACATATTTTTTAAAATTCTCTTCATATAAATTAATCCTCAATCTACTGAAGAGTGTGCATCTTTAAAATTCTCTTCATATAGATTAATTCTCAATTTACTGAAGAGTATGCATCTTTGATTTTATGGTGACGGATGTAAATAATAACTTCAATTAAGAGTAATTTTGGAATGTTAACATAATTTTTGGGGAGAAATATTTGCAACAAAGTTTAGTGGCTTTTATTAATTTACGTAATCTGGGTTAAAAAGAATTTATATTATGAATACAAGGGTACTATTATTTTTGTGTCAAGAATATATTAATGAGGAATAATTGAAGAGATTTCCATTATATCGGTGCCAAAAAGACGTCAATGATCTCTGTTGAGTCCTTATATAAAATTTACTGCCATCTATTTACTTTTAACAGTTAGGCCTGACGCTATCTTAATTTTGATGGTCACATATATATACACACTGCTGGGTTAGAGAGAATTCATTGATAGCGACATTATCTTTTCAGAAAGCAATTCTAAATTCAAGTGTTGTAACTGCGCATTTCAACATAGTTAATATGATACTGATATTGCATGTAATGTACGGTAGACAAATTCGGGGAAATGGGCAAAAAATAGAAGCCCACGGATTTGGTAGTGAACGGACCAGTTGCCAAATCGGAGCGAGTTAGGAACAAATGATGTGTGGGTGGGGTGGGGTGGGGTGGGAGGGGGGGAGCGCGTATTTACGCAGGTAGCCATATTCACTTGGTTTGATTATAGTTCTCATGAGAAAAAGGATAAATTAAGTACTCTTTTGATTCTAATATAATATTCATTTTATAATATATAAATGAGTTTTATATTTAGAATAAATAGTAATTAAATGCAACGTGTGTGGAATTCATCGAGGGTTGAGCTCGCAGCTCCTGTTTACTTCCGCCAGTAAATAGCAAGCGGGCCTTAATTTGAGCCGTCTGGACGGAATATAAACTAGTGGGTAGGTTCCGCCACCAGCCACTTGCCGTGAAAGGCAGCTAACTGTAGCCAAAAGGTGTCGACATACGAAAACAAACCTTGTCTGCGGTTGCGGTCTATTCGCACTTAGGAAAGAATGGATAGTGACACTGTTGCAATAGAATTCAACTTGCAATCTGTAAAGCAGCCGATTGCTATTTGATACCCCCTCAAAAATAAAACACTGCTTCATATATCGGAAGGTTTGCGTGTGCGCACTGAAGACTAAACTGTTGAATTTATGACACAGAGCCTTAAATTGTTTCCTCCCCCCGTATATAACGTATATGGCTTACGAAATTAGCA